TATATATATATATATATATATATGTCAGAGCTTTCTTCATGCTGGAATGATCATCCTGTAACTTTGTCTATAATGGCACATTTGTCTAGTCCAAAAGACATCTTTATATCTTTACTGAACACTTTCACTGTCTCAATTAGACCGTGTAATTTGTCTCTGCTCTCTGCATAGAGTTTAAGGTCATCAACATACAACAGATGGGACAAGCGTAAGCTGTTTCTTTTAATTAATTTGTACCTAATTTTGTTGTTATTAAAACATTTGAACATAAGGTTTATTGCTAGACAAAACCATAACGGTGACAGTGAATCTCCTTGGAACATTCCATTTTTAATATGAACAACTCATCCATATGTTCGTTTTCAACTTTTTCGAATTCATCCATATGTTCGTTTTCCATCTCGCCATCATTGAACTAAGCGTCTGTTTGAGTTTTGGACATACACCGTATATCTCAAGAACCTTTTGTAAACCAACTGTGCGGGACAGAATCGAATGTCTTCTGGTAATCTATGTAGCACATATACAGATTGTGTCGTCTTTTGTGAACTTGTTCCAAGGTAACTGCATCAATTGTCAGCTCATGTTTCCAACCCATCGCTCTTTTGATGCAACCCTTTTGCTCCTCTTTTAAGACGTAATAGTTCTCGCAATATTCATAAATCTTGTTGCTGATTAGCGATGTGAAGAGTTAGTAAACAGTCGATAGGCAGGTGATTGGTTGACGGTTTTGTGTTTGTAATATGTCCCCCTTTTTCTTTTGCAGATAGGTGTTCCCTTTCATAAGAAAATCAGGAATTGATGTAGGATTTTCAAGGACTTTGGAGTAATATTCAGCCAGTTGCTTGTGAAGAGCGTGAAAGTATTTCAGCCAGAAATTATGAATTTTGTCGGGCCCAGGGGTTTTCCAGTTGCTGGTTTTACTGATGGCTTTTGTGATATCACCGATAGTGAACGCTGTAGCATTCATTAATGGAATTTTTGATGCTGTCATTTCTATCTCTGGCAGCCATGATGCAAATTATTGTTGTTGTTATTATTGACCTATTTTTCTTTCATTGTAGATACTAAAAGATTGTATTATCTCCAAAGTCAAAGAGCTATATTTTCCCTCTATTACTTCTACATTATTCTACACATGATAAATATCAAAATTACAATAAATATAAACGTAATTAAGATTATTTTTCAAAAATGTTGTCCAAACACTGAAATATGCAAAATGAAACTAAAAATAGTTCTAATGGGGCTAAATTATACACAAAATTGTTCATTTTCTGATTCATTTCTATGATAAACATAGAAATATGTACTCGCTTTGAAATCCAGGCTTTTTCCCATTCAATAAGCATATAGAATACTTAATCATGTTAAATTTAGAACATTTCTTGATAATTAATCAAATATTTTACATCAAAAGTGTTACTGATTTGATACTGATGAATTACATAGCAACCATAGCCTACAGTATAGAATTGAGACACATTACTATGACATTTTGATTACTATGACAGTCTTGTAATCACATCATTGCAACAAATTCAATACATTTTATTGTTAAATTTTCCTAGATTTTTCAGCCTACCTATTTCTACAAATTGTCAGATATAACAGAAAATTTTGAAAATTTCCATTCGTTAGTCAACACACAACACCGAGCATACAATTAATCAGCTGTATATTATTAACACACACTAAGAAATGAATTGTAAAGAATCGAACAGTTAGAATGTACGTGGACAGTATTGAAATAAATAGTGATAATTGTTCCACATGAATTTTTGTAATTTTGACAGTGAAACAAAAAAATAATTCAGAATGAAAGCAGCAATATTAAACGAATGGGAATTATTTTGAACAGTAAATTCTTTACTTTACAAATTATCAGCCAAATTTTTACTAAAAAATTAACACTTAGATCTTATAATAGAGGCCAACGCGCATACTATTTAATTTTCACCATTTTACATTCATTTTCGATTTTAAAAATGTCGCCCAATATTCGTAATGAAATAATTGTCTTCACACAAATATTACACCAACTAAGCTACACAGGTAAAAATGATCATATTTCGTCTGACAATAATCAACTAAAAAAATATTTTTTTTTTTTTATTTGAAGACATGCTATACATTAAAGATGAACATTCACGATATTTTTACCCGCAATCATAGGCCGCTATACATAAAACACATTTAAGTAAAATTGCTCAACCTGTTTCATGCAATCCAATCTAAAACAAAATTTCTCTTTTCACGGGTCACACGTTTAACGGCTGTCAGGACTAACACGTACTAATAAAACTGGTGGAAGTCTCCAAGCCAAGTATTTATTATATACTCGAAACTTCTGTTCGTTGCATGCATGCCACCAGTCAAAGTCAGTCAAAGCATGTCCTACTTTATTCAGGCCAGCCCTCGCCAATCCGCCCAACGAAAGGCTCCCAGCCTGCCACCTGCCTGGCCGAGCACGTGCCCCTACTTTGGAGCTGGCAAGGCTGTTCCTACCGCTGCAACACTAGTAACTGATGTTGGCTGACAATATCTTCTTACCGCAAGATGTCTCTGCTGTCTCGCAAATGTCAAGGAAGAATCAAACTGTGCTTTGCATAAATGTCGCGATCATGCGAATTCTAGCATCACGACCGAGAAACCACCATGTCGTCGAAATTATGTCGACGCTGAAAACGAGCCTTAAGCTTCCTAGCGGGCTATGCTGCAACTCACTGATGATGAGGAGGCACAACGTAAATTCCCACTGTAATTAACGTAACCTAAGGAACTAGCAAAAAGCGGGCAGTTTGAATTTTTTCAAATCCACTACCATAATATCTCATTCACATTATTGTAATACAATCTATTAAACTATGTATTAGACAGAAGTATTTACACATTAAGATATGCAAAGTGAAAGGCACTCAGGGAGAAAAGAGGAATTTTTAAAAACATGTTTACCGAAATTTTCTTAAACAATTACGCATTGACACTTTACGATAGCGCGAAGCGATCCTTGCGCGCAGGTTGGATACCTAAAAAGAGTGTTAGGGCAAACACCCCCCGGGGAACACAACCCACTCATTAGTAACACCCCACACTTTACCAATGGCCCCCCTTTAGTCAAAGCGAGATATACAGTGAAGTAATCTAACATAAAGGGAACGAGCAATAATTGTCCACAAAATCACACTATCAATTATAAATTTGTTGCTACAATTTCCGTAGATTTTTCAGGTCCTAATCCTATTCTACAAATTATGTCAGTAATATATAACAGAAAATTTTTGAAATATGTTCCATCTTAGTCAACACCACAAATTACACGAGATAACGCATTTAATCAGACATGATATATTTCATTACTACCACACTAAGATACAAATGAAATTGTAAAAGAAATCGACAGTATGTGAATGTCGTCGACGAGTATGAAAATATAAATATTGATTAATTGAATCACATGCATTATTGTTAATTTTTGACATTGAACAAAAATTAATTGCAATGTATTGAAGCAGCAAATATATCGAATGTCGGAATTAGTTGTACAGTTAATTTGTCTTACTCACTAAAATCTATTCAGACGAGTGTGTGGTGAACTAAAAAAATTAACAACCTAGATCTCCTATAATAAGCCCAAACGGCATGTTAGACATATTAATTTTTCACCCATTTTACATATTCATTTCCCGAATTTTAAAAATTGTCGTCACCAATAGTTCGGTAATGAATAATTAAATTTGTCTTGCTACCACTACCATAATATTTACACCAATTACAGCTTACACAGTAATAAATAATCATTATTTCGTCTGAACAAATATCAACTGAGAGAGTAATTTATATTAGCTTGAGAAGGGCATTGCACTATTCACATTAAGATGAATCTACTCACGCATAGTTCTTTACGCAAACATAGGCGCTATACAATAATAACGAGAGAGCGAGTTAGATAAAACTTATGCTCCCAACTGTGTTTCATGACCAACCAAGAATCTAGAACCAAAAATTCTCTCTTTCACGGTGCAGCACGTTAACGCTGTCAGCGAAACTAACACGTTATATTAAAATGTAGATTCAAAGAGGCAATATTATTATATTTACTCGGAACTTCCTGTTCGTTCAATGCTATTGATCCAGCGATTGGTCAGTCACGTTTCTATAGTCATGTACTCTACTTTATTTCTAGGCCAGACCCATCCAATACGACCCCAACAAGCTCCCGCCAACCTGCCTGGCCCGGAGCACGTTCCCCTACTTTGGGAGCCTGGCTCAAGCTATCCTATCCGTTGCGAGCAGCTAGTGACTGATGTGCTACAATTTCTACCGCCAAGATGTTCTGCCTCTTCGCAAATGTTTCCAAGGCGAAGGAATCAGAACTGTGGCTTGAGTAATGTCCGCCCGATCATGCGAGCATACTAGCATCACGACATAACACGAGAACACCAGAGTTCGTCTCGAATTGATAAGTCAGAACGTATGAAAACGAGCCTTCATATGACTTACCTATAGCGGAGCCAAAAACTTCTTCACTGCGATGAGAGAGCCACAATCTGCGATAAGTTCCACTGTAATAACGATGGAACTAAGGAAACTAAGCAGAAAGGTCGGTGCCATTTGAACATTTTTTCAATCTCCTATTCAATATTCAACATTATTTTGATACAATCTATTAATATACAAAGGTTTACAAATTAAATATGCAATATGAACAAGGGATATTTTCCAGAGGAGAAGAGAGAGGATTTAAAAACATTTTCCCAGAATTTCTAACACATTACGCATTGACACATTTACATAGCGAAGCGACCCTTGCCGCAGGGGCATCCAGAGGGTGGGGCAACCACCCTCCCGGGCCCCCACTTTAGTGAGGGCCTGAAAAGTTAAACAAAGCCTGTTTCCTAAAATACATTTTGAGAAAATATATTTAAATGAAATTTAAAAATAATTGACTTGATAATGTATTAATGATAGTCACAATAATATAAATAATAATTATTATTATAAATAAGGAGAACTTTTTTTTTAAAATATGGATCCGAATGGTATGAACAAAGTCTACTCTTTGTGCGAAGCTCCTTCGACAGATGGAGCACTAACCGATGTGGATCCGAATGTGTTTAACCAAATCACCTCTTCCATCGAAACTCTTTTCACAAACTGAGCATTATGAGGGCGTTCACCGCAGTGGATCCGCAAGTGCGTAACTAAATTACTTCTATCTGCAAAGTTCTTTTGGCAGATGGAGCATTCATAAGGGCGTTCACCGCTGTGGATCCGATTGTGTTTAACTAAATCGCCTCTTTGGACGAAGCTCTTTTGACAAATTAAGCACTGATGAGGGCGATCATCACTGTGGATCCGCATGTGCTTATATAAATTATCTCTTCGGGCGAAGCTCTTTTGACAAACTGAGCATTGATGAGGGCGTTCACCGCTGTGAGTCCTTAAGTGCGAAACTAAAGCACTTCTGTAATTAAATCTCTTTTGACAAACTGAGCATTGATATGGGCGTTTATCGCTGTGGGTCCGCATGTGCGAAACTAAATTACTTCCATCTGCGAAGTTCTTTTGGCAGATGGAGCATTCATAAGGGCGCTCACCGCTGTGGATCCGAACGTGTTTAACTAAATCGCCTCTTTGGACGAAACTCTTCTGACAAATTGAGCACTGATGAGGGCGATCATCGCTGTGGATCCGCATATGTTGAACTAAAACACATCTTTGAGCGAAGCTCTTTGGACAAACTGAGCATTGATGAGGGCGTTCACCGCGGTGGTTCTGCATGTGCTTGTCTAAATTACTTCTACTTGCGAAGCTCTTTCGGCAGACTGTGCATTCATAAGGACGTTCGCCGCTGTGGATCCGCATGTGTTCAATTAGACTACTTTTGTGGGCGAAGCTCTTTGGACAAACTGAACATTGAAAAGGACGTTCACCGCTGTGGATTCGCATGTGTTGAACTAGACTACCTTTCTGGACAAATCTCTTTGGACAAACTGAGCATTGATGAGGTCGTTCACCGCTGTGAATCTGCAAATGTCTAACTAAATGATATCTTCGGGAAAAGTGCTTTTGGCAGAAAGAGCAATAAAGGAGTGCAGCATTTGAGTTGTTTTGTGCATTCGTGAGTGTTAGTTCGTTTCCATTACACTTAGTTTCAGCTTCTTCCAATCGAGGAGACTGGCAGGAGCTGCCAAACCCGTAATCTTCACCTGTTGGCAGAAATAATTTATTAGAACGTTTCACGCGAATATTAGAGGGATATTTTAATGTTTTGGAAACTCAAGAGAATGGGTAGATTTTTGTGTGGAAGAATAATAAAACGAAATTGATAAATTGTGAGGGAGTAGTTAGGAATAGAATTAATATTGTGTACAAAAAAGCGTGATGGTTAGAATATTCGAAATTTAAAAAATGTTTTA